CTCTTTTTCTTGTTTAAACACTAATTGGGTTACTTTTCAGTAAACCCCACTGGGAATCTGATGCTGTTGACTTTAATAGGATGTCTCATATGTGCAATATACATGTCTCTGACAGTCCACCACTAATGCTTATTAAATCCTCAGTAGTTCCTTTCCTTGAGTAGGTTTGCAACTCCACCCTGAAAAATTGCCTAACTGGAACCATAGAACTACTCCAATACATTTCACTCATATTTACTGATTTCTGTCTCACTTTACAATTTGATTTCTTCCCAAGAATTGCAAACTATAGTCCTCCAGTAAAAAACCAGAATCTCTCCAAACCTTATTCTCCTTCTTTTCTCAAGATTTTTGTAATGAGATCAAAGAAAAATGAAAAAGGTTATGAATTCTATGAACTAGGTAAGGATACCAGAGTCAGCTTCTGTTCTGAATGTAAAGGATAAGATATGATATTTATTTTTCTTATGAAGTATGATTTTCTTGCAAAGACAAATTTTAGATATACTGTAAAACTAGACTACGATATAATCTATAGACCAAATGGGATACTCTTGAGAACCAAAAGAGATACTACTACTAATTACATCAGAACACTAGTTACACACAGGGACTATCCAGTCCAACTGGGATGCAAGGCTACATGATGTAAGTCAGAGGTGAAATCTATGCTTTGCTAAATAACCATAAGAAGTTTTAATTAAGAGCATCATCACTAAAATCAAAAGAACTTTAGAGCTGAGTATAATTCAAGAGATTCCTAATTCAACCCTCTAATTTTACAGAGGCTGCAAAGCCAAACTACAGTAAGGTTACCCAACTTGTCCAAGTCATTGGAAAAGGTAGGTGGTTATGTTGAAAGTGGAAACCAGGGCTCCTTATTCACTATACTCCTTCCATACTATATTCTCTCAAAGTAAAAGACATTACTGAGAATTTATATACCCTAAAATATGTAGCTTGTAAAATATTTTGGAAGAAAAAAATCATAAAATATACTATAAAGAATATTTCAGGAGAAATGTTACAAAATTGATCTGAAAAGAAACAATACAAATCAATTTTTCTTTCTATGCAGACTGGCCAATAAAGGAAGTAAATGTTGCCTTTTGCAAGTTTTCTTATTCATTTAATAAAACATTGCTAGATTATTCAGAAGGGGAGGGAACACTTAGCAGTCAAAGACTTTGTCTGACACTCCTGCCCCCACTGCAAGAAGCTCTCAGCATTCCAAAGAACTTTATACCAACAATTATTTTTGCAAATACTTGTTTTCTGAGATTAACTTTATGGAAAGTTTTTCTTTCATAAAATGAGTGGGCCTTATCCAAACATTTAAGATAAAATATTCTAAGTAAAATAAGTTTTATAAACCTTATGTAATCTATATAAAAAAGTACTATTAATTTTGTTATAGTCACATTAAAAAGAAGTCATTTAATCAGAAGAGTTGGTAAATGTCCCCATTGTCTCATTATATAAATCATGTTTTTATAAACATCAGTCTGAATTTGATCATCACTCAGAGAAGAAAAACTCCCCTTTTTCCCCTCTTTAAAGCATATTTACTTGAAAGAAGGAATATAAACAGAATTTTATGGAAGATATTTTGATGACTACTCCTATATTCTTAGAACCTGTAAAAACAGAAATATATTTTTCCCTTATTACTATCCCTGCAGGATGGCTGTACAAACCTCATCTCATCTATTTGAAATGAATCCAATTTAATTCTGGTTGACCAAAAATCTGTTTCCATAGTTTTAAAACATGCAATCACCTCAAGGTACATTGCCACTGTAGCTTAAGTGGTTCACTGTTATCACTGAGGAAAATACATTTTGATTGAGAAAACAGTCCAGTGTGGCTTTTGAAAAATGAAATGACCCTTTCTAGTATACAATTTAGGAAGTCAGTTGATAAAAGCAGGCAGATATGGCCACTACAGGCAAGATTTAAAAGAAAATGCTTCATCCAACCTGCAAAAATGGATCAAATGTAACATTCCTGGAATTACCATTACAAATCACTATCATATGTAAACTTCCTACACGTTGAGCAATTCTAGCAAAGAAACACTTTAAATTTTACATATAGCAGTAATCTCTTTGTATTTAGAAGACAATTTAAGTCAGTTATGAGGTAAGAAAAATTTGCAGCAAATTATTTTACTCAAAAATAAATAATATGCTTTCTTCATTAATTTTTCACTATACACACATGTACTGTTACTTAAAATTATATATATCATTAGAGAATTTAAAAAAATGATTAGCCCAATTTTAAAACACTTGTTACAATTGAATATTTGTGACATATTAATTCAAATTATTTAATTGCTGCTATTGGTCTGTTAAAAAATCTAAAAAAATAAAGTATCTCCTTTTAAATGAAACTAGTAATCTTTTATTTAAGTCAATAGCTCCTCAAATGAACCAAGTAATCACTAATTGATTCGATTATTTACTACTATAAACTGCTGCTGTCTTTAAAAGTGTAACAGCTTAAAATAAGAGATTCTTTTCACTGGCAATTAATGAGAAATTAACTATTTTCCCTTTGCATTAATTAATATTATAAATTGCATAAATTTTATTTCTGCATTTCTAAATATTCAGCTTTTAAATTAAGTTTTTTTGTATATTTAAAAAATATTTCTTAATATATAGCAATTGCTAATTGACAAAATACATTTTTTAAAGTGTTGTTAATTTTGTTCTTATTTTGGAACACATCTGGCTGACAGGAGCTTTGGCAACTATAACTTCATGAACGATAAAACAAGACTACTAAGATTATTTCAATTTGTATTTATAAAAATATTGCTAACTCTGAATGTCCTAGAATGTCCTCTGATATAGCAAATAGTCTATCAAGTCCCTTGTGTTTCATTTTTCCTTTATCAGATTCACTGTAATTACTTGCTTATCATTAAATGAACCATAAATCTACAACAACAACAACAACAACAAATCATTAATGAAGTATTGAGAATGAATGTTAAATGGAGCTCTAGGGCAAGCATAAAGTCACAAGTCTTCATCCAAAGAGCTCAGTGCTATGATATTGTCAAAAATCTTATAAATCCACGCCAGATAGAGAAAATCAACAACATGATGACATTCTAAGCAAACATTTCCACTAAAATGTTTATACCAGGAGGGCAAGAGTTTTGGTTTTTTACCAGTATATTCCTATAACTAGAACAGTGTCTGGCACATGTAGAGAGAGACCAATACATATATATTGGTGAACATCCTATGAGATGCCTTTGCTTGTAGCCAAATGCAAATAGAAAAAAATAAAAGAAGAAGAAAGGGGGGAAAGGAAATAAGTGCTCCTATAAGTGCAAAATATGCAATACTACACTTATTAATTTACAGAATTTACATTTTTTGTCATCTCTCTTCTCCCAGGACACTTTTTCTTCCTCTATTCTGTTATTCTCACCCCTTCCTATTCAAAGTAAAAATTATAATCTATTTTCTTCTTTTTCTGGAAACATATGTTAATTAATAGTTAGGATACTGATACAAACAGAATTTTCCTTCTATTACTTTTCTTCCAAATCTGGTACCAGCCTGTTTCAAACACTTGAGGTAAAAATAATTTTAAAAATAATTGTCATTCATGTTTCTTGAGGATGTAGTTTTCTAGAAAAGGAGGATCATATATTTAGAAAAGCTTTGCATGGCACTTACTGATGACATTCACTATTAGAAGAAAAAAACAAAACAAAGCGAAACAATCAAATCTGGACTGAATAACATAAACAATTCTGAGAATTAACAACTAGTTATATACAAAGGCTATGCATGTCAACCGCAATCTAGTGGCTTTAATATCATTTCAGTAGCATCTAATAGCATTTCATAGAAGGGTTTGTGTGTGTTCTTCATTTATGTAATGTCAATATCTAAATCAGTGCCTGATACATAGTTGGCAATCAATATAAGTACGTTTTGATGGAATTAGCATACTTTCAAGTTGTGCAAATGCCACATTTTAAAATTCTATTTTTCAAAAAGGTATATACAATATTAAACAAAAGGCTTATTAAAGTTAATTTTAGATGAGGGCAGTTAGTCACATGCACAAAATATCTTAGCCCAAGATAGTTTTTAAATACCATATTTTTGGGTCTCTGTCCTCAGATAAACTAAGTTTTTTTTTGAAGGTGAGAAAGCAGGATTTATTGAGGGGACAGAAAAGCCAAGGGGACTGCCAACTAAGTTCATTTTTAAAAAAATATAAATAGTAAAAGAGTCAACTTGTCATTCACCAGGAAAACCACATGCTTACCAATTCAAAATTTTAAGACTTCAAAATACAACAGAAGTATTGAAATATCTTTCTTTCTTTTTTTTTTTTTTTTGAGTTGGAGTATCATTCCGTCACCCAGACTGGAGTGCAATGGCTGCTCCTGGCCACCACAGCCTCGACCCGCTGGGCTCCGGCCATCCTTCCGCCTCAGCCTTCCAAGTAGCTGGAACTACAGCTGCGCGCTACCACGCCTGGCTAATTTTTTTGATTTATTGTAGAGATGAGGTCTTGCCAAGTTGCCCAGGTGGGTCTTCCCTCACCAAAGCTCTGGGGATTACAGGCTGAGCCACTGAGCCCGGCAAAATATCTTTTTAAAGATTAAATTTGCTTATACTTTATCTTAATGTAGAGCTGAGCTTAAACAAAGAAGATCTTTCAAGTATTTCATTTGTTTACTTGTTCATTTAACTTAAAAATGAACAGACAATTTCTTCATCTTAGGTTAGACCAAATTTATTGAATCAAGACTATCATGTAGCCGCTAAAAACCAAAACAAAGCCTTTCATAAAAGTCCACAAAACTCTGATCAACAGCATATACATATCATGTTCAAACATGTCTCAAAGAAGTTGTTCCTGAGATCAGATATAATCTCATTTTAGAAAAGACTAAAAGTGGAAAAGCCCACTTTCGTAATTATATGTCCAAAATGAAGAAATGAAACCCACATGCTCACCTGGCTAATGGGCTCTTTCGTAGGGGGCTTTCCTCTTCTGGCTGTGCTAGTAGCCAGGGTTGTGGTAGTCTCCATAATTGATGTGGACATTTCTGACTGCATGGCAGTGGCTGTCGACTCAGTTGTCATAGAGGAAGGCACTTCACCAACCAGTCTCACATTTCCCACTATGGCGATGTTGGCATCGTTTTCGGCTGCCATATTCAGAACTTTCAAGCCATTGTAGTAAAGCCCAGAGAGCTGGCCCTGGAAGGGCTGGCCCTGCTCTTTCCCGCCAATTATTATGGTTGCTTGGCTATTGAAGATTGTGAGCTGACGCCCTGTAAAAATAATATTACATACATGCAAAAATGTTGATTGTGAACTCTACATCTACAAAGGATGATAAAACAGATCTTTCATGGGGTGAATAATGAGAGCAATAAACTATAAGAGAGGCATTTGACTCATAATTCATTGCTTATAAATGAGGTGTCCATGAAATGCATAATTATTGGCAAATACTTGTAAATTCTCAACTTATTGTAAATGTAGTGCTTTTGCTCAAAGACCAATCAAAGATATATATTACAAATCAATTTTTAGTGAATACCTTTTCTCTTTTACCTCAATATCTTATATTGTTGGTCTCTTAAGTCAAAATTGTGAAATTTTTTAAAATGTGAAATAACTAACATTTCAAGTATTTGTCATTCTGAAATTATCACTGACAGAAACTAATATAGAGCAACTAAAATCTAATTTTAAATTTCATGGTAAAAATTTCATAATTCACATAATGTCCACATGTATCTACACACTATTCTTTAGTAATGTTTATTTTTTGAAGGCAATCATCCATTGTTATTTTAATTATTCAATTTTTCCGGCAATCACACTGAAAAGAAATACATGGTTTACACTGAGCATGTCAGAGACAAAAAATTCCAAAAATATTTTTCTGATTGGCTTTCAGCAAGTCTCTCAAAACAAAACAAAATGAAAAAAAGAGCTTCGAATGTAAAAAAGCGGCTTCAGGAATGATACACAAACCGATGGAGAAATTATGGCACATTTCCATCAAACAGCAATCCTTAGCAACAGTACCATTATTATAAAATTGAGTATCCAGTTTTAGCAGATAGCTCTCTGCTCATAAAAAGCATGCACACAACTTTAAGTTCAGTTTTAATTAGGGCTTGTTCCCAAATGCTTAGAAGGTTGCAAACGTTAAAGGGACTTCATTTTGACTGGCAATCCATATTGCCCACTATTTAAGATTCCTAGAGTTTAAAAACAGAGTTTTGTTTTGTTTTTTTTTCAGGACCATGATAAATATATCAGAACTACATATGTTTTAGTTAATAATTTAGAGGCTGGAACATGTAATATAATCTATGAATGATTTATCATATTGGGTTAATTCTTGCTGTGAGTACCTTCATAGATTGAGTTATTGGATTATATTTAACAGTCCCTTTAACCTTAAGTTAACTGGGTAAGATTATTAAACAGCTGGTATGTCTAAAAATGTATAGAAATTATTATACAAGGTATGCAAATGTTACTATCTACATTTTACGGTTTTAAATTTGTTTTTAATTTAGTTTTACGGAAAATTTATTTTTTATGTTTATTAGTGTTACAATGAAGTACTACTTGGTTATGTTCAAATTATTTTTTTATTTGAAGTTTTAATCAATGTTTTTTACCTTTGTCGAGTAGCCATTCATCAACTACTCGACCAAGTCGATATGGAATTCGCTGTCTAGCAATCGCCAGGCGCTCGTTATCATTGTTTCCTTTAAAGTTTAAAGAGACATTTCATTGGTTAAAATCTGTAAGGTCAAAGGTTAAAAGTTAATACTTAAAGCTTGAGCTATACAGTTGCCACATGATTTTTTGAAATTTGGAATTTTAAAAAGATCTACCTAGAACATTTCATGTTTCAGACTTGTCATTCATTCATTTATTTTATTTTAGCAAACAAAATTATTCCTATGTTAATTGAAAATTAGAAATCTGCATTTGAGCTAGGTTATTAAACTTATGTTATAGACAGACCCAAACAACCAATTTAAACAGCATATAATAGCTTTACAAAAAAATGACCATTGACCTCAGGGTTTTGTCTTTTTGATGTTTCTTATTAACTAGTTAAACATGTTCAGGTGAAACAGGTTTAAGTTTTCAAAATACATTCAACCTCTTATTCCAAATTAGTAATTTATGAACACCAAACTCAACACCATCTTTGGCACACTAAAGCATCTAAAATAGGCCTAGCATACTTTATTTCCTAGTCAGAAAACAGAAATCCTTGTTCACCTCATTTAAGAAAACCACAAAGTCCAAATAGTTCTTGTGTATACCACACAAATTAGTTTGTCAATCACTTGGACATCATGAGAGAATACATCTTGCATAATTCAAATATGTATTATAGGAAAAGGCTTTGACAAAAGTGACTTTATTTGAGTATCCTTGAGTTTCATCTAAAGCTTAACATGTTGAAACATTAGGGAAAAAAATAGATGCATGTTTTTATATACTCAAATATCTACATTTTATTAAGTTTTTTTTTAAAGGCATGGTAGCTGAAGGAACAAATACATGCCACAAACAGTGGCACCTATTAATAGAATTAAATTGAAAGTTTTTTTCTTTGAATAAAAAATTATCTGCTGGAAACACCATTTAAATTGACCTTGAATAATGCTTGCAAGTAGATGAGTGTTTTCTTGATCTATAAAGCACTTAGGAAGAATCTGAACTGCCGTCTCAGTGCTCAGTTGTGTATATTGCAAGAAGAGCTTTTCTATTCCATTAAAATTAACTAACATGGAAATCTGAGCTAAGACATTTTGGCAATAGCTCAGATAAGGACTCAGAGGTGAAAAAAACAATGAATGGTAGTACTACCTATATAAAAAGACTGAGGCATTTTGTTAGGGAATATAATAGATAGATATATTTTTTAAAATTTAGAATGATTTATAAGTGCTTTCTTATTCTGTTCTTATACATTATACTTACCACAATAAACCTACCATAATATTGGTCACATGCTTTTGGAGAAATAGAAAAGAACTACCTTTTAGACCTTATCAATTTTTTATCTGAATGTCTATATGACTAAAAATATTTTACATGTTAATATTTCATTTAAAATATAAATATTAGAGTCAAGCCAAATATAAAGTTTAGTGAAAACATTCATACATATTTCTCTATTTATGTAATCATTAAAACATTGTGAAAATAATATTTTATGATGCGGGAATATAGTTTTGTTAAACTGATCTTTTGGTAAAAAGAAACAAATAGTATAACTTTCCAGTCCTATCTTCATTTTGTCAAAATGTGCACAATTTTTGCTCTCTTTTTTTGTGTTCACATCTATGCATATTTGGGAAAATATTCAAAAATTTAATATTGATTACCTTAGGGCAACGTGATTATTGATGAATTATGTGTTTGAGGCTTATATGTAATTTATACAATAAGCAAGTTTTACTTGAATCATTTGAAAAGCAAAAATAAAATATTTTTCCTCTATGAACTTCTTTGTCATCCAATATTCATACCAATTCACACTGGTATAACTCTCCTGAGGTTATAATTAGATGTTTCTGCATGCTGTTTTCCATACCAGAAATTTCCCATCATCAGGAACAACACATATTCCCTCAGACAATATCCAAATCTAGGTCATAAATCTTTCTTGCCCACTTACTACTGCAGTCTATTAACAGACCTTTTGGTGTCCTCTTGCAATTAGACCCACACATTGCCCACATGCCAGCCAGTATCTTATCATGCCACTTGTCTAGTACAACCCTCCCCATTGCCTTTAGGATGAAATCTCAGACCCTTACTGAAGTTAATGATGACTTCTGTGACCTACTCCCTTCTTACCTTCCCTTTCCCCTTATATGGCTCTGTCTTGCTCTCCTTCTTTAAGCCTCATAAGAGTTCTTTTAATTCTTCTAAAGCTCATCTTTCTCCTCTCTGGGCCTTTGCACTTGTAGCTTCCTTTATTTGAAATACTTCCCCTTGCTCCTATCTCATTCCCATTTTTCCTTAGCCAACAACTGCCCATTAACAGAACTTTCTTGGTGGAAATATTATTTCCTCAGGAAGTGTTCCCTGATATTTTCAAGCTAGGTTAGGACACTTGAATATATGCTTTTGTATCTCCCAAATCGTGCACCTTAGAAACAAAGATTGAATGTGTAATTGCCTATTCAGTAAATAGTTTTCCTTTAAATTCTGAATCTCCATGAGGTCAAATACTGTGTGTAGTGTTTATTGTTTCTTTAGCGCTTGCTTGCATAATACTTATCACATAACCTCCTACGAAATATCTGTAGAATGAAGTCGTAAGAAAATCTTGTTTTTAGTTCTGATAGCTTCTGTGGCACCATTAACTCATCTCCATTGCCTAACAACATTCAAAAGAAAAGGAAAGCAAATACTCCTGTCCAGAGAATAGACCACTTGAGGCTAAGCTTCCCTTGGTACTTTCCAAAGAAAACACCACATATTTCAATTATAATTTTATTTTTAATGGACTGTCAAATGTTTACACATACATACAATCAATAAATTTGTTATTTGTTTAATAATGACTTCCTCATTCTATACAATTGGTAATCATAGTTATTATTGGTAGGGAAATGTTAGGGAGGAAAATCTTAAGTAAAACAGGTAGAGAAAAATGAAAGCTTTCTTTTTGAATGACTCTGAAAAAGAGCACATAAAATATATGAATATACACACACATACAATTTGCCATCATACCTCTGACTGGTATTAGTAGAATAATTAATATGGTTGATATGGTATGATTTAAGTCAATAGTAGCTTTTGAAGATCCTTGCTAAGGCTCACCCAAAGCAAGACATAAACACTGCATGCCCAATGATTAACTAAAAAGTCACCTACAACAATAAACAATAAAGAGATTTAGAAAATAGAGTAGGCAGTAAAGACAAGTGTGAAAATATGTGATAATTTACAAGAAAAGTAGCCACACAAAGGAAGTCATATACTCCCATTACCCCTGAATGTCAGGTGACTGCTAGTTCAAAGAGTTTTTTGTTTTTTAACTGAAAGACTTGATTTTGAAATCAAAGAACAGATTTTATTCTTTTTAGGAGTAATGGGTATCAGATGACCCTTACTTCAAGATATGTCTATTTTATTCTCTAAGTTATTTGTTCTTCTACTGTAATTTAAAAATGACTTTTCTGTGGCAAAATTATATGCAAATACTTGCACATTGGTAACCAAATTAAGACATCTAAATAAAGTACAGTGTCAATGTCTTTTAATAGACAATTCCCAAAATTCTGCTACTATTGGGTAAAAAATAGTTCAGAATGTTGATGTTCATCAGGATTGGGCCTACATTTTGTCTTTACCTCGTTATTTTCATTTAAAAAGTTATATATTAAAAGTGATAATTGGAGCCGGGCTCAGTGGCTCAGCCTGTAATCCCGCGCCTTGGGAGGCTGAGGTGAGTGGATTGCCTGAGCCCGCGGGTTCGAGACCCGCCTGGGCAGTGAGACCTCATCTCTACAATAAATCAAAAAATCAGCCGGGCGTGGTAGCGCATGCCTGTAATTCCGGCTACTCGGAAGGCTGAGGCGGAAGGATCGCCGGACCCCACC